GTGCTTCTACGTGTTGGAACCACGAAGCCGGGTCGTTCTGCCAAAATTCAGGAAGCTTCACGGCCGCAGCAAAAGCGACCGGCTGTAAATGTTCCGCTGACATGCCTGAAGAGGAGACACGATCCTCTGCAGCTTCGAACATGTTCAATTCGGGGTCACCAATGTAGCAGAGCGAAGAAAGCGCAGGAGACGGGAGTGAGTTTACTCTTTATTCCAAAAGCGCAGAACAACCGAACTTCAACAACTCAGCGCGCCAAAACATAGGCACCGTAAACCACGCCCCCAGCCCACAGTCCTGTAGGGTGAGAGGCATCTATTGCAGTGCCTGCCACAACAATACATTTTATTCTCATACTAAGTGCAGACAGAGACAAGTCTAGATTTTTCCTTTGGTTAACTGTTTATATTTAACAGTCAGTTCTTCACATTGGTTCAGGATAAACAGCCTGCCCTTGCTCGCAAAGCAACAACTTGATGCCCTTCAATACCAAATCTTATAATCAGTAAACCTGATAATTCGATTTGTTTCCAGAATGCCACTTGTTCGAACTTTTCAATCCCCTTTGTCCTCAAACCTCTTAAATAAAATGATTTAACGAACTACAGATCGACTTTCTACTACCATTTAGAAAAAATTCCGACTACACTTATTTCATTTTTTTTCCAAAATGGAAAAGCTCTGACAGCAACACTGTTGTTGAAAAGGTTTTTAGACATGGTTCAAAAACGGTTCTGTCTAAATTACTGTTAAATTGTCTGTTATTTTAGTGTCAGTATTCAGCAATGATGTCTGGTTATCACAGAAACTCAGTCCCATGATCCCCGGCCCACAGCTGGATCCCCTTTGGAGGAGGAGCACTGAGCCAGTGTTTTTCTCGACAGAAAATGAGGCACAAGCACTTCATGGCATATTGTAAGAGGACGAGAGAGGCTGAGAGATTATGGGTGAGAGAGAGAATTATATACAAGACTGGCAATAAGGGAACACTAAAATGATATGGTGTAGGTGGGACATGTGGAAGCTCTCATGAATATAAACAGTTTTTTTTCCCCGTGTTTAATATTTTTCAAGAACACATACATATGTATGTACACGAACACGTACATGTACACATACAGTAACACAGGATGACTCCCGGGCTGCAGTGGTCAGCCTTTATGGATCT